ATTAATACCATATTTCAAATATACTGCCATGTTTAAAAAAAGCTAGATTAAGTTTCTAAATTACATAGTTTTGTACACAGAATCTGAATGATGTTCAGAGGCATAAACAAGAGTTCTGAAGAGCATTGTTCTTTGGGGCTATGAAATTCCACTATGTACAGTTTGTAGCCACATAAAAAAGCATGTTAAAATGTCGTTTCATCCATGTACTGAATTGGCAGTGATTTTAGATCAAATCCATTGCATTTTAGAAGAATTTTTTTTTATTCCAAACAGTTATTTCTAAAAATCTTTGTAAACATTTCCTAGCCTGAACAAATTCATTTTCTGTCCTGAAAAAAAATCATTCTCCAGCTTTGTTTTGGAGTGACAGAGGTTACCTTTCTTCAAAAGAATGAATAATACATAGATACATTTGATCTGTGGAGGTCTCCTTTTAAAAAAAAAGTTCTGTTAATGCAGTGTTCATTTTGGATACATTACAGTTTATTTTTATTTTCTTATGTTGTTCAAAAACAAGCTTTTAGCTTTGACTCCTTTACTGATGAGTGTAGTAACTCACACTAACTTTTTACTAGGAACTAAATTTGGCCTCAAGTTAGTGCCCTACCTTTTCGTTTCAAGGGAAACAACAGTGATCTTAAATAAATCATACACTCAGTCAGGAACAGAAAGTGGTTTGGATTACATCCAGAGGGGAATTGTTGCAGTACTGATGTTGCTGGTGCTGCTCTAATAGTCTTTCTACTTAGGTGCTTGTGTATAAGGACACAGGCATGGGAAGATTTCAGTTAGTCCGAATGGTCAGGAAAAAGAGAGGCAGGAATTCCTCCCTCTAAAAGGAAAGAACTGCCTGACTGACACTGGAGGGAGGCATCTACCTTAGCTTGGGGATTCTCAACTAGGCTGTGAACCAGCCTCCTGGAACTAACATCTCAAAAGCTGGAGAGTTTTCTGTGTGGGGAAAAAAACCCACCCTGCTATTCCCAACACAGAATCATAGAATCATTTAAGTTGGAAAAGACCTTTAAGGTCTTTGTGGTCAGGGTACAGATGCACAAAACCTGTTGCAGGGTCCCTGATCTAGAGCAGGGATCCTGAATTTGTACCTCTGGCATTATTCAGCTAATAGATTTGGCCTCTCTTTCATGACAAGTTTATAAGGAGCAGGAGCCTAAACCTGACTCTTCAGCTCTGCAAAACCATCACCACTGGGGTATAGAGTCAACCTGTCTTTTCTTCTGCCTTGTTGGAAAATGGTGGTGTAGCTTTGACAGTTTAGCAGTATTCAAGTTGAAGAGCTTAACTGCTTAACTGCAGACTGTTGTCATTTTGGTTTAGCTACGTTGTCTGGGGACACAGGGAATACAAGATTTGTACACAGAGACAAGACCTTCTGTTTAGACTGACTGGTGTAAGTTCAAGTTAGAAAGCTACCAGGCAGGCCTTGTTTACTTTTTCTGATCACATCAAGTGGTTTACATAAAATGTTACTTGGAAAGCTCGTGTTGCCCATAGAGACTGTGGGCATAAGCTAAGCACTGGCCACATAAATGGAGTTTATTCTGGATTTAGGAACCTGGGTGACTAGGCTCTGAATCCTGTGTGACTCTAGCCGCGTTTCTCCCTTGTATAATGCCATGCCATCAAATTATTGACATTCAGTGGCTTTTTATCACACATTAGCTAGCAAAGGTCTGAGAAAGTATTGAGGCTTACTTCTCATCTATGTCTGTGGATGAATGATGCAAGTTATTTACACCAGAGTTATTTATTACAAATCAGACTGCAGAAATATGTTAGATATTGAAGTTTCTTAATATAATTAGATAATTAGTTTTGCTGACAGTGACCTTTCCCATTTTTCCATGATTTCAGAAGTTTACTGGTACAACTTGTTGGAGAAAGCTGTGTGCTTATTCTCCGAGCTCGCTATTCCTGAGGTTTCACAGTAGTTAAGATGTTTCATTGCTAATATACCTAAATACATAGATCCCTACCACACTGATTGTAGAACTCCTGGTTAACAGTATATTTAGTTTTCAGAAATGTTGAGATTTATCCAAGACAACAAATTACTGCTTGGTAAAATGGGGCTGGTTTCCTAAAGGCTACTGTATCTTTATTATATCACAACCAGCAGGAGTTGAAAAAGTGGGCTGCTTTAATAGTTTCAATGTTCCTGAGCTTATATGCTCTCTAAATTAAAGTGCCACATTAACACAAATTACATTTCATGGATTCAGGCAAATTCAGAGCTGGTGTAATCAGGTAGTTCCGAGCAAATTTGCTTGGAAATTTTGCTGAGAAATAGAAAAAGCAAGGAGGATACTTTCTATCTAATTATTTCCACAGACAGCTATTTTGGGCTTTCTACCTTTCAAATTCCAATCCCCAAGTCAGGCTAAAGTGGTGAAGTAAGTGCATAGGCAGTTTGGCTGACCAGCCTTTATCCTGGGTGCTGTTTGTGATGGATGTACTCCAGAGGGGCCGGTGTGTCTTGCACTTGCCCATCATAAATGACAGTACTGCTGTAAGAGATCTTAAACAGTATCTTAAACCTATTAAATTATTTGGGGGAGTTTTTCCCTACATGTATTTAATTTCAGGGTTTTTTTGTTGTGGCCTTAAAAATCCCCTCTAGGCCTCTGAATCTTAGTTATAAAGTAATGGAAAGTGTTTCAAAATAAATTGCATTATCCTGTGATCCTACTAGCTCCTTCTGATGCTGTTAAAGCTTTAGAAAAGTGAACTTTTGTGAAACCAAAGGCATTGCCGGAAACCTTCATTATCTGGGAGAATTTATTCTAAACTTCTTGTACTGGATGCCAGACAGACTCGCCAATATGAGCACTGGATTTTGTGAGCTGATTAGGATTGCTTGGGACCAAGAAAACACAAGACTTTTTTTGTCTTATAGCAACTATAACGTTGCTTTGCTTGTTCCGTGGGTAGTTCTAATGAAAACTTTGTAAATAATGTGAACAGGATGTGATCCCAAAATAGCGCTTTTTATTTTCTTAATGAGTGTTTCTAAAGCACTGTATAAGGCTTTGAGCTTTTGCAGGCATCTCAAACAGGTATTTGCATTGATGGAAAACATTTCTATAGATATATTTGTTTTTTCCTCTTCTTAAAGATGGCTTAAAAAAATTCAAAGATAAACATATGATTCATGGACCAAGAAAAGACTGGACTCTTCTGTCTTACTGCTACTTGTCTTAACTGTTTCAAAAGCAGTTTTTAAATACCTTGAGTCAGTTTAGAGCAAAGCAATTTGTACTTTGCCCCTGTGATACACAATTCCTTGAATGGGCTGGAGTGTGATTAGTCTTTGGAAAAATTGAACAACTGTATAACAGTTTCCTTCTTTTTTTTTCAAATATATTTTAATTTCAGTAATCTCTGTATTTTGTTGGAAATACTCGCTCCAGATGAAGTATTGTAGTAATTTGTAGTTTGCCTCCAACTTTGAAAGTAGTGTTTTAGTCTTGTGGGGGAAAAGAAGAATGAAATCTTTTCAAACCTTGCTCTCCTGAAATACATTAACGTGAAGTTCTATATTTGTTCTTACTAGGAAGGATGTATTCTGAAAAGTAATTGTAGTTAGGGTTAAAAAAAAACTCCATGTATTTTTAAATCATCTTTACAATCACCAGCATAATGCTGAAACATTAAACATCTGGTGTTTTCAGGCTAACACTGATGGCTGACGTAAAACACACACCGCATGGAGACCTGGTGAATTGGTCCTTGAGAGTGTCACTTTTCTGACCTTAGGGGTCTCTGAAGGGTTTTGCTAATTTCTGCTGTAAACAATGAGCTGCTAGAAGTTAAAGTAGCTTAATTTTGAGAACGATGAAGCCTTTTTTCAAGGGGGCAAACTTTGCTCTCTCTAAAGGGAAGGTACACAGGCCCCGAGTCCTTCAATGGTATCTAAAGGGCACTAAATATGAATTTCTACTCTTGAACTGAAGTGGGTGATCACTGGTGCTAGGATTCCTGTTAGGAAAAAGGTGTACAGTTAGGCTGCAGCTGCCTGCAGGACGGGAGTTTGTGCTGTTTGCCAGGGAGGGAGCAGATCCTGACTGGAATCCTTCACCTTCCATGGATCAGCAGTTCAGTGCTTTCCTTGTTTAAAGGGGAACGTTGCTCAGCATCTGCTGAGAGGGAAACACGCTTCTCTTCAAGCCTTAACAGTGGCTGAGACACACAGTACTGTAAGATGCACTGCCAGCATATTTGGTATTTTAAGATAAAATATAGTTTTTCCTTAGATCAAATTCTTGTATTGAAATATTAAGTCTTACTGTAACCAGTTTACTCTTGTGTTGTTTTGGAAACTGAATCCTAGTGAACACCATGTTGGAAAGCTGTCATCTTCACTCTCCATAAGGTATTGTTTGTGATGGTCAGTTTATACTCCTGCCTTGTGGACTTTACAGCTGCAGGCATTGCCACGAGCCCACCCTTGTAGCCAAACTAATTTGTACTTTTCGTTCCATGTTCATTGACCTGCCACTCAGAATGGTGGATGTAATAATACCCACTGGACTGCTAGAGATTGGGTTTAAAAACTTGCTGCTATTTTTGGAAACCTGATATGGGTCATGTTAATTGTGCCTTTCATCACTGTTTCTTCTGTGTGCCAGAGTTGTCCATGTATATTTGAAGTAGTCACTAAAATAAATCTGTTCTCAAGTTCTTTCATACAAGGAGAGGACAGATCTCTATCTAGAGACAGTTGTTGCTTTACCATCGCAACACTCTTTAAGATCCGTACTTTCACACAGTCCCAAGGCAAGGTATTCCAATAAAACTGCTTTTTGGTGTCACTTAAACCCCTCATAATGTAGAGCTTATACCAGTATGTGCAAAATACCTGCAGTAAGAGTTATGCTACATAGACTTGTTGCAGTTAAATTTAAGCTACAGAGATGTGCAAGTAACTTGTTTTTAGGAATGTACTGAGAAAGTATTTGGACAAAATTGCTAACATGTTTACTGTTGTAAATATTTTAATAAAAAAGGACACTTCAAACTTTTTTACACAATTATCTACAATAAAGAGAAATTTACAACCATTTACAAAATGTTCTAAGTTTTTTTACTGTCAAAAATGGCTAACGTAAAAACAAAATAAACATTAGATACATGAAGTCCTGGGTTTATTTCACTCTGTATTTATAGAAGGAGCAAAGCATCTTGGTGAAGTTCCATCCACATGCTAGTGAGATCAAATAGAGCATGATGAGAAGTGCAAAGGGATACAAAAGAATAGCTGTGTTCTTCAAAAAGGGCAATGCTGAAACAGAAGCAACAATGAAGCAAGTATAAAGTAGTGCTCTTTAAAAGAGGTGCTTCATGTGGACTGGCCTTGGGGCAAGACAGCAAGAAAAAACAGTTCTGCTCTACTGTCCTCCTCAGACATCTCTGCCCTACTAATCCTACTGTTACCACATAATGCTTTTTGAAACTGCTTTACCGAAAACTACGGCCTTAAACTCATTAAAGAATTTTTACCTAATGCAAGCATCTTGAAGTGGATTTACGGAGGAACAAGAAAATCAAGTTGTGGTGCTACAGGTCTAATACAAGAAAGGAAGTCGGTAAAGTGGAGAATACAAATTCTCTGGTTAAGATGTACACTCACTGAAAATCCAGATTGGTAAATTTCTATCAAACTTCATTTTACCACAAGGAAAGAATTACTTCAACACCCAGCTGCGCCTCTGCTTTACAAATTAATAGACTAAGATCAAATGAATAGACTGAAAACGTTCTTTTGTTTTTAGTTTGTTTGATAAATACAAAAGAAATTGATGTTACTCACCACTGTATCCTAGGAATGTCACATAGATATAATAGCCGATGGCAATCAACCATAATGTATTCCCAACAAAATACCCAATGACAGAGTCAGATATGATGACATCTGCAAGAGATAACTGCTCTCAGCTGTTTTGATAGAGCACCATTTTGAAGCAGAGAGCTCCAAGTATTCTACTTACAGTTGATGAAGAACAGCTGGATAAAATGCAAAATTACTAGAAGTGGGTAGAAGGCATTCAGATGCACATCAAAGGCATATCCCCACTCCACATCATAGTCTCTGTTCTGCTGCTTCACCAGGTACTTATTAGAAATGAACCTACGTAAAAAGATATTTGAGACTACTGTTAATGTGAATCTATAAAGCTGACAATCAAAACATAGGTTTGACATAGCTTGTCATACGCAATTCCAGTTCTCCACCCTTTATAAAGTGTCTGCTATCTGGAAGAAAAAACATGCAAGAATCATGCAGACCAGAATATCGTTAAAATGTTTTTGTTAAAACTATGATTACATCCCCTGCAAGCAACAGACATCTGTAACACTGTATTACACTTCCAGTAATACAGAAACAAAATGCTTCTTTAAAGAAATTAGTGCTACAATCTATCAGTGCAGCCACCTGCTGCGACTTCTCTCTGTACGCACAGGGAGACAACTTCAGTAAAGTGCCCATACAGGATCAGCACACATCACACACAGATGGCTTATTTCATCTCTACAGAACTGGTGCACTGCAAAGACGGGAGGAGGGCTGGATAGTGCTCATAACACGAGCCCGTTCTTACTGAAGAGAAGTGCAAATGGAATGTGCACTGCCTGGTGTTAGAGGCTACGGAATAAGCCTCAGGACTGTGCTTCAGTTTAAGTTCTGCTGACATCAGAAAATTTATCACATTTAGAAGAGGAACAAGAAGTCAATACACACTCCGAAATAACTTAAGAGACCAGAGTTTTCATGAGTTTTCTGCCATACTCTGTGCCAAGGGTGGGGTCAGAAGGAGGCAGAGCCTGGGGGTGAGGCGAGATGAGGCAAGGCAAGAAGGGATTTAGTCTCATTAAGAATGGGGAGAGTTTTTGGAAAAAAAGGTGAGCCTGCACTTGAAGAAGGGACTTGAACCAAACTGGAGCCAGATGACTAGTATTGAGGCTGGCAGGAAGACAGTTAAAAGATAGAGGAAAATCTTCTGGTTCAGGAGACTGCACCCTGAGGCACAAATTGCTAGAGAATAGCAGGCTAGGAGAAGAGAGCTTTACTATAAGCTCTTCCCCAAGCAATTTATGGGTTGCTGTCCCAGACACGAGCATAGGTTAGATGGACTTTTCATCTATCAGCTACAGTGCTTGTATTTGCCTCATCCTCAAGTTTGCAATTACAAGCAGGAGTTCCTGAGGCCACTGTTTGAAAGGAATTTATCCCTTTTCCAATCAGCATCAGTTTAAGATGTCGGTTCTATCACTAAGAACTCTTCTATTGTTTTTACTTTCTTAAGTTCTTGGTAAAATAAAAATACTTTCTTTGGTGCCCTCCCTTTGCCGCAGCAGAGAAACAGCAGCTTCCCATTGTTTCATGGCTCCCTCATTGCTGCAGGACACATCCACAGTGCTGAGGCCTGGGTTGTAAACTGCCCTGCTCCTGCCTCTCCACTTTTGCAAGTCCCTGGACACTAGAAGATAAAACTGGCAGCGACTACCACCAAAGCAGCGAAGCTGCCACATGTGAGATAGAACAGATGTGGCTTGTTGTGGCCCTTGCTAAAATCTTCAGCAGGAAGCATGGGCTTAAAAAGCATCATCCTCAGGCTTACATTGCTTAATTTTTTCATTCATTATTCTGATTGAACAGTTTGGGTTTTTTTGAATACATTTTTTTATTTGGCTTTACTGCTGACTATTAACCAGCTCAGAAGAAAGAAAAGAAGCTGGAATAATACACACTTTCTAGGGTTTTTTTATCTTTTGCAGGAAACAGTGAAGAAAGAGATGTGTTCTTTTTTATTGCAACATTTTGAAACAATTACTACAATAGCACAAAACTTATAGGCAATACTTGCTTTATAAGTTTACCTAAACAAAGAACCAAGTGTCTTGCAAACAGCAGAGGACTCTCCATGTCTGAATAGCAATACTGAACTCAGTTTCAGAAATCACTACTTACCACATCAGAGTTGCAATCAGGAGGCCAACACCAACGCAGTCTATGAATACAACCCAAAGTAGCAGCTTTATTGTTTCAAAAAACCCCATGTCCAGCACAAATCCAAATCCTACAGTAGAAACTGAAAGCGCAAAAAGATTATTAAAGTCAGCTGTCAAAAGAAAGCATTAGATCTTAAACTGATGGGGTTTCTTTGAATATACTGTTATGAAATCTCCACTTTCTTTTATTTTTTCTCCCAAGATTTTCAGTCCAACAGCTCATTTTTTCCCACCAAAAACTAGATATAATGCAATTTATTCATAATATTATCCTCTCATAGATTGAACACTCATCTGTACTTGGGCTTAATTGTATTGCTCCACTCAAACTATTTAAAAAAAATTCACATAATGCTACAATAGAACATTCTTTGTTTTAGAAAAGCTCTTTGTTAACCCAAACCACGTGCGTGGTCATTCATAGTTTTGTTTCAAAGTTATATGAAATATTTTTGCTATTACAAATAGCAATATGCTATTTAACAGAAGACAACTGGGATAACACTTACTGAATCTGCAGTTCAGTCACTTACATGGGCCGCTTTGTTTATAGCTTAATTCTGCAATATACAGAATCTCACTCGGACTTTTATGGTAAAACCAGTATTTTATCCGTAATGTTCAGGTAAATCAAATATTCAGTATTTTTTAAGTGAAGCACTGCTGTGTGGTATGGGGTTTTGTTACTGTCTGTAAAGTTACAGGGAACTGCATAGTTTGAAATGCAACAGAAAATGAGTTGCAACAGTGATCAATTCAAGACTACACAATTTCAGTTATGCCAATTCCATTTTCTAATTCCCAGAAGGTTAGGCCCTTCCCTCTATTCTACTTTGACTAAAAGGTGATCCACATGGACTGGTCCCTTTTTTGCATGCTATTGGAAGAAAAATGAATATTTATCCCTAAATTTTCCCTCCCTCTCCCTTGCGCTGTCTGTTCTCCTGCACTCACCACAGAGCCAGATACTGAGCAGTACTAGGAAGGCAGGATCGTCTCTCGCCCATTGGTCCTTTGTCTGTTTTCTGTAGTGAAAGTTCCTATAAACCCTCTGTGGTGAAGTGAACAGGTAGAGCATCTGCCAAAGCGCAAACTCAAAGTCCATCTGTCGGAAGTGGAAGAGCCTCCGCAGGTACTTGTAGCGTTTCGCTCCGGCCGTGTGCCTCGCAGCATCCCTGGGGCTCAGCGCACCATTGCCCTGGCTCCGAGAACTAACCAAGGTGGTTGGCAGCATCTTGCTAAAGAAAGAATTTCAAAAGATGCATTTGGCTTTGCATATAGTGAGGGCTACAAATAAAATCACGCGACGCAGGCCCTGCCTGCAGTGCTGAAGTGACAAAAACTGAGCACGAGTATAAACAACGACAATTGTTGGAGCAAGTCCAGAGGAGGCCATGAAGTTGACAGAGGGCTGGAGCATCTCCCCTGTGAAGACAGGCTGAGAAGGTTTGGGCTGTTCAGCCTAGAGAATAGAAGGCTGTGTGGAGACCTCATAGCAACCTTCTAGTATCTGAAGGGGGGGAAACAGGGAAGCTGGAGAGGGGCTCTTCATTAGGAACTGTAGCAATAGGACAAGGGGTAATGGGTACAAACTGAGAGAGAATTTAGGTTATATATTTAGAGGAAATTCTTTGCTGTGAGGGTGGTGAGGCACTGGAACAGGCTGCCAAGGGAGGTTGTGGATGCCCCAACCCTGGCGGCGTTCAAGGCCAGGATGGATGAAGGTCTGAGCAACCCGGTCCGGTGGAAGACGTCCCTGCCCATGGCGGGGGGGTTGGCACTAGATGATCTTTAGGCTCCCTTCCAGCCCTTAACACCGCACGTTTCCACGATTTAGGGGCGGCCTGTCTGACAAACGCCCGCCCCCCCTCAGCGGGACCCGCGCTCCGCTCCGGGCCGGGAGGCGCCGAACGCCGCACGCTCCGCTCCGCGCCGGGGGGGATGTGGGGGTGTCTCACCTGCTGCCCCGGCCCGCGCCGCGACCCCGCCCGGCACCGACACCGCCACCGCCGCCTCCCGCAGCCTTCCGGCACCGTCCGCAGCGCAGGCGCCCGGGATCCTTCCCGGAGCCGCCCCGGCCCTTCCTGCCGCCTCCGGAAGCGGCCGCAGCGCCCGGCATGCCGGAGGCCGCCGGGGGCGTCGCCAGGCCGGGCGGCAGCGGGAGCGGCGCGTAGGGCCGGGCTCAGCGCCATGCCCAAGTACTACGAGGACAAGGAGGAGGACGGGCGCGCCTGCGGCGGCGTGCGGGAGGACCTGCGGCAGTGCCTGCTGGAGAGCCCCTGCGTGCTGCAGGTCAGCGCCGCCCCTGCCCGGCCTGCTCGCTCCCGTGTGCGGCACCGCAGGGAGTTACGGCTCCAGGGGAAAGCGCAGGCCATCAGAGCGAGGCGAAATGCCCAGTAAACCCTGTATGAAGTTGGAACTAGGTGACCTGCAGGGTCCCCTTCCAACCCAAACCACTCCGTGATTCTAGAAAGCATTTTGGTGTATCTTTGGCGAGCTGCACAGATCAAGTTTATAATCCTTTATTTTTCATCTACCAGGAAAACAAAAGCCCTAAACAATGCTTGAGGGAAGGACACTGTAGGAGTTTGCAAGTGACGTTCTTTGCATGCAAAAGATCAATGGTAAGTGTGGCGTGTCCTGTGGCAGTGGCCTGGATGCTTTCTGTCCTTTTCCCGCTTTTTTGAAGAAAACCATTTTAATTCAGTAAAGCTGGTGTCATTAAGCAGAACAGCTCCTGCCTCTGAATCCCATTTCAAATGCGGATGTTTGTATGCAGAAAAACTCTGTTCTCATGAAGGAAAAGTTATAGAGTATGAAAAACTGGAAAATGTGTTTATATTGAATTAATCTTTGAATGTCACAGGTAATGAGGTGGGTATTTTTACTGTTGTTTGTAGTGAAGTCTTGGATTAAAAAAATTCTGGAAGATCAGATAACTGTAAGATAAAATACTGACAAGACATTTTTTGTCTGCAAGGTCATCCAAAGAGAACCTGTATAGAGAACATTGAAATGAAATTAAATGAGACTCCCACTGTTCAGTCAGGATCTTGCATTGAATTCACATTGAGTCATTAATTTTCTTGGAGTACTTGAATTAATGATAACTAACAGTTTGGGTTTTTACATAGCTAACTATCCCATGTGATACTGACAAAAATGTAACTAGATAAAGTTTCCCCTATTTTGATAGGAGTTCCATGTCCAGAAATGTCTTTCCCGTGTTTCTATATTTAAAAGATAGTTAAGATGTGATAAAGATGGTATCAAAACTTTCTAAGCATGAGTTGTGCAGGGCTAATTTTTATTTTTAGCTGATGTGATACATAATGAAAAGTGCACAGCTGAAATGGTACCTAAAATTTTTTTCTATTCTGTATTAGTCATTACAGCTTTTTGTACCTCTCCTATATGAACCATATAAATCCATATAGTGACAAATTATTATTTCTGCAGACAGGAAAAATGCTGCGTATTAAATGTTTGAAATACCTGTATGATGCTGTAGTAGCAATATATACAGGTGATGTACCTGTATTTTTGTCTGGATTGTTAAGGCACCCTGAAACTTAAATTGCAATCTAAATGTATCCATGTGGGAAGAGGCCTGGCTCTTAGATGATTCTGTTTAATTGTCCCAAACTTTTTTTCTTGTCCCATTTTTTTTTCTTGTCCTGTTAATTCTGTAAATTTCAATAATTGGGCCCTGCCAAATTTTTTATTTGTTATGATAGTGAGGATTAAAGAGTGTCCAAAACCAAGTTAGACACTAGATGCAAATTTAATTTACAGTAGTCTAAAATGATTAGGGATTTTGCCTAGATGCTGTTTTCTTTGTGAGGAAATAGAATGTCTTATCAGTGTAGTAAGCTTCAGTAACTTTTAGATATTTAAGTAGGAACAGGATTTAAAGTGGAAGCTGCCAGATTATTGGATAAGCTATGTCATCATGTAGTCGAGCTCTTTACAAATTTTACTGCAGTTCTGAATTGTGGAAGAGAGTTAGTTAATGGAGTTAAAAGAAGCCTCCTCAATCTAATATCTGAATATGGCTGAGTTGCAATCTGTCGCTGCCATCTTCAAGACTATCTAAATTCAGAAGAATTCTCCCAAGGTCAAAGTACGTTTTTCTGCTGCACTGGGAAAGAAATTGCAATTTAGCTTCTGTAAGTACTGCAGTGTAGCTTTTATTTTAGCTTTACAGTCATCTTTAGCCTTCCATTAAATCTTTTTTTTTGTAATTGCCAAGAATAAACTTATACATTTTAGAAGCTGAATATTATTTCAGTTTTTACAGATAATTTCTATTTTTTCCAGACACTTCTTGTGTTTAAGTTATCCCTCTCCTCTTGGACATTTGTAGTGACTCCCACTTTGACCAAATCTGAATTTTCCTTCTTCAGTTTATCAGTTACATTTGGAAAAACTGATTTAAGCAGACTTACACTACCTTGTTTTAATGTGTTCTTTGACATCCTGCTATCCTGCTCTTGTCATTTGTGTTGTTCCACTGTTTATTTCAGAATGCACAGGACGCTTATCACATAATTTTAACTTTTGTGTGAGATATAAGATAATATAGTGTCTCTTTCATCAGAACCACCCTGTGGCTTGTTGGCTACATCACTAGTTTTCTTTACAGTGCCTTCTGCTTTATTCTGGCCTTTGTTCTGATGTTAATAAGTGCCAAGGTAGCACAAGCACCCTAAAATATTTCTTTTGCAAAATACCTGCTTTTAATATATTGACTTCAATTTTCAGTTGGATACCAGGGCAAGATTCAGAGGAAGGAAGGGATACTGAAGTCTTCATCAAGAGACCTAACCATGGGAATTCAGGGTTCATCAGCACTTTACAAAAAACAGAGACTAAAGTAAGAAGATTGTACCTGCTGTATCCTTTCACGCAGTGTTTTTGTGGAAGATACCTGCTCCTGAGTGTTCTGATAGATTGACCTGGATGTGCATTTAAATGTTAAAAAGAAGGCAAGCCTAAAGCTACAAGTTCTGGCCAAAATGGGTACTTGTCATGTACTTGAAATAAAATATGTGAAATCCAGAATAAGCTGCAGAATTTATCATTCTGTTTTGAAGTGGTCTTCTGTGACTTTACTGTAAATTCGGGTCATGTTTTGCTATTACAAATAATAGAAGATATGGAACTGGGAGTTCATTTGATATGTTGAGGAAGAGTTTTCTTAGCAGATTGGTATCCCAGAGGATATCTCAGGACAGAACTGTTTTCAGAGACTAAGAGTTGATCAAGGTTGTAAAATGTATGTGCAAATTGCTTCCTCTCCAGTAGGTTTGCTGCCCAGTAAATCTGCACTAATAGATGGGAGTGATGCTGTTTTTCATTCCCACACTGGTAAGGAAGTAGGATTTTTGAGGGTAACAGTGCTTAAACTGTGACAGTGGTCAACATTAACTGTTTCTGATTCAGAACTTTTTCCCAAAGGAATATTTCTTCTTTCAGCATCTCTGCGTCATTCCCTGCCTTTTGGAAGCCTTTAAAAAATAAATGGTAGTCTAACTTTTACAAGTGGAAACTCAAATAACTTCAGACAAGGTGATTAGAAACAAGATTAGGAAATAGTGAGAGAAGAGAGAGTCATAGTAACTTCTTGGCTGAAGCTTATAGCCAGGTGTCTGATTTACATTTAGTCTGAACAGATGCATGCAACACTTACTGTTTGTAAAAGTGATGACTTCAGTGAATGAGTGCATGTTGATTATTTAATTCTCTCTGTCTTAAGCAACTGTTCTGTGATCAAAGAATGTTTATATTCCTTGTATGTGTAGGACCTTATTTTTGCAATTATAAATCAACATTGATTTCACATTTTCGTGTTCTGTTGATTATAAGGAAGCTGGTTCATTTGTTCAAGTGCTGTAAACATCCCTTGTTTTCCACAGCCTAGTTACCATATTATCTCTTTACATACCCAAAAATTATAAAATTATGGCTATAAGAGTATTCTTAACTTAGCACTCTAATTTCAAAGTATTACTCACAAGCCTTCTCCATGGGGGAAACAAAAGGGAGCAAAATAAATAAAAAGCCATATGGCAGGTATTTAAATGTCAGTTAGAGAGAAGAGTGGGAATGGTATGTGGTTTTGGTAGTCAAGGGCTCTTCCATGGTCTGCTCTGTTACAGGGGCCTGGATGCTTGATGGTTCAGGTGATCTGTGTTCCTTTCTTGGCCGTAATCACTAAGCCTCACCTAATGGTTCTGCAGGAACTCCTTTTGGAAAGGAGCAGACAGATAACAGATCATAGAGAGACAGCTAGTTAGAGTTGTTTTTAGTAATTGGCTTGAATCCAGTGGAGATTGAGTGTTAAATTCAGTGTTTGCTATTGGACATTTAAGGATTTAATAATTAACAGAATATGTGTATTATTCGGTCCACTAGAATGTTACTGTAAAAACTTCCTAGTGGTTCACTACCTACCTAGAACAGTATAAAAATACCTATAATATATATCAAAATATTCATTTGCTCAAGAGACTATCACTGTTCAATTCCAGTGTTGTGTAACATCATATTCTGTTTAAAAATGACTACCTATATAATTGTCTTGGGACTTTGAGCACCGTTCTACTTGAGAAATACAAATGTTTCTTGTGGGAAAAATAATAATTTGTTTTATTAATGGAAAACCGTAGATACTATAGATTCGATTCTAGCTTTATTCCTAATACAATAAATGTTTTTATTTAAATATATTGATATTTTCATCTCATGCCTCGTGGTACACTACTAGGTTTTACTAAAAAGTACATATTTCTGTTCTGTGGTAGATTTTACAAGATGGAACTTGCAATGTATTTGAATCCGTGAAATTGGATTGCTAAGGACAAACGGTGGACATGGCTCCGAAAGGCCCATACTGGGTTTAGAATCAGAAATATATGCAGTGCTAATAATTCATATTGAATAAGTACGGGACACAGTTTGCAAAGAACTTTCCCTGCTGCTCTCGTTCCTCCCATTTGTTTTACGCAGTGGCAGAGCCAGAGGGTGCTGAATGTTGTCAGGACTGACGTCGCGGGCTGTGGCTCCGTCAGGGTTGGGACCTGTCTGTGTCATTACATCTGGTTTCGTCAATTAACGTGTTCTCTCTGTGGTCCAGTCCTGCGAACACGTTTGTATTTAAATAGCTGTAAACACATATTGTGGAACTGCAGAAATATGCCGTAGTCATTTACTCTGAAAATTCTTTAGGTCATTAACTCTGTTCTTTCAATTAATATGAAGTGATAAGCACATGAGTCTGTTTAATGAAGGCCCATGTGTACATATGCTGAAGTGAGTGAAAGGGGTTGGCGTTTAACAAGGATCGTGCATTTATTATTTAAATTATGCCTTCTAAAAGGAAGGACAAAGCATCTTTTAAAAAACCCTTTTTAGCTTCCAGAAGGTGTGAGTTTATATTACTGATTAAAGACCTTCATTATTCACTGGGTGGAATAAGAGGTTGGTTATATATTCTGTCTTCACTTTTAAGTTTCTGGAGAGCAGCAAGTTGGGTGAGATGCTTTTTTTCAAAGCAGACTTTTAAAATAATACTGTTTTTTCAGTGGAAGCCTGGAACAAACTAGATTGACACCTTCTGCTCATAAGAAGAGCATTAAATTGAAGTAATCTAAAAGTGCAGCCACAGAATGTAGGTGGTAAGCAGTATCTGTTGTTTAAGCCTGTGACTGGAAAACTTAAAAATACAGAACCGTAGCAGCTTTGTTGACACCATGAATTTCACAAGTACTCATGCTGCCCTAGCACTTGGTATGTGGTCATTTGGAATATGTGTATTTATTCTAAATATATGTCTTGTTATCTGTAGCTGAAGAGCACAACAGTTTAATTCCAGTCTTAAACTGTAGTTGACGGAATAGTAACCAGAAACCTTAAGATTATTTCTTACTTTTCTTTTTCCAAATGTGCATGCTGAATTTTCTGTCTCTGGCATTGTTTAGTTGGAAATATCTTCAGAAAATCATTAACCAGATATTACTGTAAGTAGAACACTCCCCAGTGACTTGGTTGACAGTCTGTAGGAAGAAAATTTTGTAAACATAGAGAGCAGCTTCTTGAAGTGGACTAGCTTTATTTTCAGGACTTGCAGTAGGTTCATTAATAATGTCCTTAAACACTGAAAGAGGAAGAAGCACTAAGATAAGAATATCAATATGTAATATAAGCTTATATTGATATTGCTTTTATTTAAATATATTGATATTTTGTCTTATGCCTTGTAGTACACTACTGGGTTTTACTAAAAAGTCCATATTTCCATGCTGTGGTAGAGGAAGTATTAGTACTATAAAAGGAGCTATGGAAAAATAGCAGATATAGAAATTGACTTGTAATTAATAAATGCTAATGATAAACTGCGCTACTGTAAAATTGTGCTGCCCTTCATTATCGTGAAGAATATAAACTTCTTCTAAGTCAATTTATGACAGGAAATTTTTATATTTTTTTGATGGTGGAAAAGAGAGGTCTAATATGTGTTAGCTATTGCTTGTCGTAAGCTTTTGATTCTGTGTCAGCCACACCTCTTTAATGGGCATAGCAGGATAGTTTTTGGAAATCTGTGTGTTAAGAAATCTGTTACAAGTTGCAGATCATTGACAGACTGAGAAAGATGAGGGTGAATAGTGTGCTGATGGTGAATTGATGTGTAAAATTTTGCATATAAAGGCAGAAACTACATAAAGCAGTTTATCAGCTGAGACTGGACATTCAGGTTCCTTCCTGCTTTATATTAGTGGTTAAAGTAAGAGTTTGACACCCTTCATCTAGTCTGACCTTCTCTGAAGGTTTTTATGCCAGAGAAAGGCATTGGCTCTTGAAAAGGGCATAAAATCTAATTATGTTTTCTTTTGATAGTATATTTCAGTACCTAGTAATCCCTGTGTTGAAAGTGCATGTCTGTCTTGTGATTAAAATTTGACTTCAGCTTTCACTTAGGGGAAAAGAAGAGGGGATGACTTTACAAAAGAGATCAGTATCTTATATTTTCCTGCTGGGATGCATTTGAAAGCAAGAAAAAAAAAAAGTATGCTTTTAATATTTCTCAGTGAAATGCATAATCTTGTGTTATGCCTGTCTTCCTTAGTCCCTTCAAAGACTTGTAATCTTCTTTTAAGAAGGAGATAAAACCCTGTTACAGTTTTTTTCATTCATCTACATACAGGTAAATTCTCTGCTTTCTTTGGATTGTGCTTCCAAGGTGGATATCACATTTGTCAAAGTGTTAAGTTAGGATCTCATGTTTCAATTCCTTGCGCGTTATGACCCTGATGCCTTTTTCAGAGTCAGTGCTTTTTCAGTCTGATGTTTTCCCAGTGTGTGGCTTGTTTTCCCAAGGTACAGCTTTGTGTTCTTTTCCTAGATGTATAGCCTGAGATTTGGCTATTTAAAAATAATAATTTTGAACAGTATGCTGTATGAGCTATTCCAGAACTCTTATGTGATGGTCCAGTTCTTTTGTTCACCACAGTGTCAGCTATTGGGTTCTCCACAAGTATAATTAGCAATGAGTTTATGTGTGCTTACACATCTTTGAAGAAAATGTGAAATAGCCTTAAATCTGGTAATGGTCCCAGAGCAGTTCTCCAAGTGCCTCTACTCAAATATAATTCTTCTCTGACAATTAATTTGTGAAATTTGTTACTTACAGATTTCTTTGATTAAGAAAACATAATTTTACAAAAAAATTAGGTAAATTAAAAACCTCTTGAGCCTATTCATTCCTGCCGTGCTGGTTTTTCTTGTATTTTGCCCTGGGTAATTCAGACTGCTCTGCCTACATGGTGGTTCTACGTGTCCTCCTTCAGTGCTGGTGCGAAGTAAGTGCCCTTCTGGTCCCTTGGGTTTTAGTGCTGTTTTTATTTCCTAATGCTAAGTGAACACCAGTAGTAAACATTGTTCTTCCAGAATCCTTGGTGGGGAGTTGTCCAGACCTGCTGTTAACAAAGGTTGTATTTTGCCTGATGATGATTAAAAATGTCATCAGTTGCAAATAAACTAAAATGTATTTTACTTCTTAATGCTGTCAAGCTCTCTATTTAAATTGAAGGATGCTAGTGATAATGTCTATTTGCTTTTAACACTTTCTTTACAAGTATATTTGATATTTTTATGAGAGGATGGCTTTAAGTTTGCATGGTATGCAGAGGAGCTCTTATTTTCTGTCTCTTTTTTGTTAAAAATCCTGGTGGGGTCATGAGCTTTGTGCTAAACTTTTGACCAAAGATAAATATTAAAAGTCACGTATGCTTGACTAGGCTCTTCTCTGTAAGATCTGTGTGCTTTTGAAGCAGGAAGTGTTTGCATAGCATTTCACCAATGACACTTGTAAAGAAAAATGAAGAATTCAAGTTGCATCTTCTGGCTTCTCCGTCCAAATTCAGATGGTATTGAGGACTTGAGCTGGCAGCTTCCAGCACAAGGGAACTGCAACAGGCAAATTAAAATTCTTACACTAGAGTGGTGTTGGGACTGACTCAGCTGGTGCTTGGCAGCGATCCTCTGCAGGTCATGCACAGTTGGCTGGAGGCATCCAGACAAGTGTGTCTGTGTGTGTCTCAGTAATACCTCACTTCAGCATGGTTCCTGCAAGCAGGAGCCCCTTGCATGCCTCCTGGCTTTTGTGCACTGTATAAAAATAATAGAATGAGCCAGAGCTGGACTGTGATCTCTTCCTACCTTCTTTCAAATTACACTGAACACTGTTTGAGCACGTTAAACTCCTCACTGATAGCAGCGTGCTACAGAAATTGGTTAAGAAATGGAGCCCAAGCTCTAGATACACAGCAGTTTCAACAAATGCAGTTGACTGAGAGAGCTATCGAGCATCTTCAAGTGTGGACCGTAAGTATGGATGGAGGAAAACTGCTGACATGTATAAGAAATACTGTGGCCAGCGGGACTAGGGAAGTGATTCTTCCTGTGTACTCAGCACTGGTCTGGCCGTACCTCGAGTGCTGTGTCCAGTTCTGGGCCTTTCAATTCAGGAAAGACACAGGTGCTGGATTGGGTCTAGAGAAGGGCAATGAAGCTGGTGAAAGGTCTGGAGCATGCGTTCTGTGAGGAGTGGCTGAGGGATCTGGGATTGTTTAGGCTGGAGAAGAGGAGGCTCAGGAGTGACCCTACTGTTCAGGGGTGACCTTATTGATTTTGTTTTTCTAGGACTACCTGAAAGGAGGTTGTAGCCAGGAGGTTGGTCTCTTCCTCCAGGCAGCCAGTGACAGGACGAGAGGACACAGTCTTAAGCTGTTCCAGGGGAGCTTTAGGTTGGACATTAAGAAGTATTTCTTCACAGAAAGGGTGATTGGATATTGGGATGGGATGTCCAGGGAGGTAGTGGAGGTGTTTGAGGAAAGACTGGACGTGGCACTCAGTGCCATGGTCTAATTGACATGGTGATGTTCAGTCACAGGTTGGACTTGATGATCTTAGAGGTCTTTTCCAACCTAATTAATTCTGTGATTTTTTTTTTATTAGAAAAGAAAAATCTGGATTGTTGGCTCAAATTATCTGGCTCAAACATCATCGCTGTGATATGGGTATTTTGCAGGCACGTGACGTTTCCTTTCCCAAAACCCCCATTTCAGAAGAAGATGCAGGAGAATCCTAATTCCTCTGGTTTTGGACGCTCCGGAGCCGGGGCTGGCCGGGGGGGCCCCCCAAGGCGGTGCAGTGCGAGCCGCGGCGGGCGGCGATGCCGCCGCAGGGGGCCGGGCCAGAGCCGGGGCGGGGCCGCCGCTGCCGGCGCCGTCAGAGCGGGCGGGCGCCGGAGCCGCTGGGGGCGCGGGGCCGGCGGGGCCGCGGGGCGGTGCCCGGCGAGCGGCGGCTGCGGAGGTGAGCGATGGGCGCCGGACGGGGAGCGGGGCTCGGGGGAAGAAGGTGCGGGACCGAGCGCCGGGCGCGGCGGGGCTCGTAGGGCTGCGGCGGGAGGCGCCTCCGTGCCGGGCGCGCCCCGCCGAGCCCCCATGTTGGGCAGGGAGGCCCTGCCCGCCGCGGCTCGGTCACGGCGCTGTCACCTGCGGCGGTGCCGGGGCGCTCGGGGCGCGCTGTCGTCGCTCGCTGCGGCTCGTCCTGGGCCGGGCCGGGCCGGGCTGCGGCGGGTGCGGGTAAACAGCGTGTGTGGACGGTGCACCGCGTACACAGCCGCCTCGGGGAGAGATGCAGGAGTGAGACATCCAGTGCAAGGATGATATTTAACCTCCCTTAATTTATTCCAGACCGGCTTCCGTGGTTCCTTTCCCATGTGGAGAAGCCTTAAAAGGAAGCAGCGTGTTTAGTTTGGTGCATATTTCAGATTTTTGCCCGTTTATTAAGCTGGAATATGGTTGTGAAATACGGTAGAAGTGCCTTTGCAGTACTGATGCACCATCATCTGTCTCATGTGGCTTTGATGGAGCAGCATTAAGAATGAACTCGAAGCTTTATTCTGGTGGTATACATTCCCCCCGTACCACAACTAAAGTCAGTATGTGCTGGTCAAAGCCTAGCATGGACTGCGAAGTTGGTAGAGGGAGGGGCTTTTGCTGGACAGTCCTGCACGGTGATAGAAGCTCTCCATCGGTAGGCCAGTATCATTCTTTCCTGCAGAAGCCTCTGATGTTGAACTTGTCTAAGCTGGCTGGGAAGGTTTCGCCAGGTTACTTTTTAAGGACAGAAGCAGAGAGGCATCTGTGTTTCTGCCCTCAAACTCTAAAGCAAGAACCCCATTGTGCTGGAAACAATATAATTGTTTCCCCCTGAAGAAACGCCATTTGCTAATGCTTTTTTCAAAGGCTCTTTATTAAAAAGCTTCCTAAGTTTCATTTTCCTGCTTCTGAAGAGTAATTCAGTAGGCTACCATGCTTCTAGGAACTCAGAGAATGCAGTATCTTGCCAATTGTTTTACAAGTCTCTCTGACTCTCAATGCAAATGTTAGGTGGGAACAAATGGTGGGGAGAGCATACGTATTTTTGGCAAAAAATTCTGGGACTTGCTAGCTTTAAGGTGGATGTGACCTCTTTCACTCATGGCTCCCTGCTGTAATATCAAGTTGTTAGAAAATCATTATTTCAGGGCTGTTTTCAATTATCTCTATCCAGGCTGTATGCATTTTTCTAGATACATGACAACTTTGACTATGATTTAATTTATTGTTAATGAGCTAATTTTAGCTTAATCTGTAGTGGATGGTAGCTCGCAAGGACGCATGGAGAAACAAAGAATTCTGCCAAAGTGTGGCAGAAGAGCCATGTGATCTTCAGAGAGTGTGTGGCTCCATTACTGAAGACAGCGATCACACCTCTGCAGAAACTTATTTACATCTGTCTTACTTGCTGTGTGCTGAGACAGGAGGCTGTACCCCTTCTCAGGCAGTAGAGTTTTCAGTCTTGAGATCTCATATATATTGAAGGTTGATTATCCCCAGCCATCTCTTAGACCTGTTGTTGCACAGATGCTGTATGAAATGGAAGTTCTCCCTGAGAAGTGTAATGACTGCTAGGAGAAACCGCTGCTCTGTTTCCCATGTGTTCTGGTTCCTCAGTCTTTGTATTATTGTGCTAGAATTAAGAAGGAAAATGAGAAGGCCAAGGATCCCCTTTTGATTCTTGTTTACTTCTTAAGATTAAATTCAGGCTTCTGGCATGTGCTCTGCCACAACAAATTTTAATTGCTTAATTGCTGGTGCATAAAATGCACCATTGGAATATAAAAGTATCTCTTGGGCACCCACTGTAGATGACTTCGTTGGAAAAACTTCCCCATTTTTCACCTGGACGTGGAGAGCAATTGTCTTGCTTGGAGATGAAATTTGAAACCTCTACCTGTTGCCCAAAGAGATCAAATAACACAGGCAGCATAGCCCAGAGCGTTGTCTTACAGGCTCTTTGCTTCTGCTTGTCACTTCCCTTCCTGTTTCTTTTCTGACAAACTGAATTTCCTCTCCATTGTTGGATTATCTACCTAAATCTCAAACAGACATCCTTCACAGAAATGTTGGAAAATGTTGTTGACCTTGGAAGAAGAAAGCCTTAGGGTGTATCTACTCCATCCACATCTGCTGGACAGATAGGCATAGCCTCAAATGTCTTTAAATCACTATTGTTACTGATTTGCCTAATATGATAAGCTCTTTACTACTGATGAAGTTAATTCTTCTGGCTTTCGATAGAAGGAGGAATTTCCCTTTCCTGCTTCACAGCCACTTCCTGCTGCCCTTCTTCCTTTTCTTTCTACATTCTATTCTCTGTAGTTCTTTGCTTACTGTAAGGGAAGCATTGCCACAGACTATCAGCATGAGGCAAAACCAAGGAACAACTGAGGCAGAGCAGGTTGAGAATAAAGAGCTGACCAAGTGAAGTAAGGAAAATGACAGGGACATTTGTTAATTAAGGATGCGACTGAGAGGAGGGCGTGTGTGTGCATGGAGGAGTGGTGGGGTCACAGCCAGCCTTTGTGGTTTGTGTGGTGTGTGGTAAGGGAGGTGTACAGGAGATAATGGAAGGCAACCCTCCCCAGGCTTCCCTGGCAGTTGGTGCTGTATTTTCCCGGTTTTGGAAACTGGAGTAAATGATGTTGCATCAGCTGACACAGGTAGACATTGTGCTTCTGCTCCTGTCAGCCCATTGATCCAGCCACTGTTCAGTCTCGCAGAGGAAAAGCAGGTGCCAGTACTGCAGATATACATTAACACTTCTCGAAAACAGCATTTGAAAGCTGCAATAAAGTGTATTTACTCAGCAAGAAGGCTGTTTCTGGACCATTATACTTCCACTGAATGTGAAATTCTTGAATTTACAATGTTATTATCAAATATACAATAAACAATAAATTTGGAAATTCAAGTACTGAGGTATGTCCTAACTTAGCTAAAACCATCTTGATGAAATATAAGAGTAATGTAGTTTTCCCCCTAATCTCCAGGCAAATTGAGATCTTGATCTTAGGTGGACGAGACTTTCTGTGCAGTTTGTAGGACACGAACAATGATTTCTCTGCAACAGAGGTTTGTGAATGTGTGTCTGTATTCACTAAAAGTACTTA